TCAACCAAGGTTTGGATCGGATCGGGGAAATTTTGCGCATGTAAACGTAGCTAGTGTTCTCAATACTTTCTGTAGACAAAGAACACATTTGATGCATTTAACTGAAGCTAGCTTTGGGATGAAATGTGTGATATTGCTAATGCATTTGAATGTCTTGAAAATATCACTGTTACACGTCTGAGGATTTCTGTGTTAACTCATTCTGTTATTTAATATCTTCATATTTTGCCTACACAATTTCTATTATATCCTATTCTTTTCTATTCTATTCTATATTTCTATGGCTCATTTATGCAAGCTGAACATAATACTTTGTAAATGACATGCAGACTCTTTGAATTGGTCCATATTTAGGTTATAGGAGTTTTTCCTATTAGGAATTAATTCATCAGTGGCAAAAGCATTTGATGAGCTAAACTTTTCTTTCCTGGGTATAAGGCTCCAAGCAGCATCTTTCTTGTAAGAAGTGCCATAGATCTTACCAGGAGTTCAAAACCACTTGCAGCCCTTGATGCTATGTGGCAGGACGGCCATGTTTTTGTGCCTGGATGTCTAACAGCCTAAAGCAGTGCGTATGCTCATGTGGTGGCAGTTGAATCCCTCGGGCTGAGAACACGCACAGGATGTGAATTTCTTTTTATCATTCTCAGCAGTCTGATCCAGAGCTGCTTGTAGAGAAATGCATATGCATATCCCAGTGTTTGCTTTAACATTTCAACTTGGCTGCCTTAGGATTCTAACATGGTGTCAAATTAAGCCAAGGTGCTGAAACAGAGATTTGGTTTTAGTCTGAGAGTTTCACTGATAGTTTGAGTTAAAATAGCCACGGATGTCATGATCAAATATTAAGAATGGATATTGGTCCAATGTCAGCCAAAAAATTAGTTTTGAAATAAATCTACATGCATCTTATTTTTAGTATATAAGCAAGCTGATGGAAACAGTCTTCCTCTGTCTGCTTCTGTTTAGTTTCTGTAACCTATTGGTTAATAATAAATAGCTCAATTGTACTCATACTTGCTGTTGTTGTGGACTATTTTTCTAATGAACTAAGATTATTTAGCCCTTTTTGTATATTTCACACTACAAAATGAGTAATAAAAATATGTATTTATTTAATGTTAATAAATAATAATAATAAATATGTAACTTCTGTGGTTCAAAATAAATGTTTTCTACTGCTTTTAAAATAGCAACACATTGACTATTAGAGTTATGATGATGTGACTTTTAACATCTTTTTTTCAGTAGATTTGGTAAAAAGGAAAACTAAAGCAAAATCATGAAATATCGATCTAAAAGACTCATTTCTGCTTTTTACAGATATTTGACTATTGTTGTTGCCACCAAAGGAAACGCAGCCACTTAAATGGTTTAAGAGAAAGTTGCTTTTTCATACGGCCATATTTGATTGGATAATAACATTCAGAGCTCTGAACATGCATTATTCACATGCTTTTTCCCAAAGGGTGTGGATGAACGTCCTGTCACACCTCATATTAGTGGTAATTTTAAAGTAAAGGTCCAGTCAGCAAGGAATAATCAATGGAACATTATCTATTCCTAAAGCTAATACGTTTGCGGGGATTTAATTAATGTAGCGTTAATCAGTAAAAAAATAAAAACAATATTTTTCGGCACGATCGCTGAGTCCGGGACCCGCCATTTTTGCCCAGATATAGTAACACCTCACTCCTTACATCTTCTGGCAGTGACGTCACGGTGCGGTAAGCCGAGCGCCATTCTCCCCGCTTTACAAGCAAAATCAATTGGAACTACTAGGCACATCTGCAATAAACAAGAATTATTGAAGATTTCCAGAGGACTTCACCATTGAAATGAACAAGAACTATAGTGAAACTGACAATGCCCACGTGCATGGCAGCTGGATGTTGTAATACATCATAAATAACTAGTTATTTCACCTTTCCGATTCATGAACCACCACAGACGGGTTCGTCGTTGGATCGCCAACTTGAAGAGGGAAGATTTACCATCAAACTTCTTGCCAGAGAAAAAAAACATGTAATATGTAGCCAACATTTCGAAGAACAATGTTTTCATGATGACTTTGATAATAGCGCTTTGTGACAAACACCAAATACAGCACTGGGACTTGCTCAACACCTGATACCGCATCGTGACGTCACAAACCATTAGTTGGCAGTAGTGTTCTTTGACGAACATGGATGCCTCCAGTGAAGCTCATTCAAATGAAAATTACTCTCAATTAAAAACACTGATCATTTATTGAACAGGATGTAATAATTTCATATTTAAATTACTTTCAGAAGTTTGAAGTCTGAATATGACCGGGCTTATCCTTTAATATTTGCAGCATATATTCTGCAAGTTAAACATTGTTGACATTATTGGTGAGTTTGTTTGGAGTTTTCCAGTTTCTCCTCCTACCGCGTCACACAGTGTGTGTCCTTCTCCACTGCAGGGCAGGAATGCTAAGAGGACCTTTCTTCTTCTTTTGTTGTGTTCACTATGACTCAGCCTCAGACCCCCAGTTGGGTCTTTGTTACAGAGCACAGCCCACTATTTGTGTTCAGCTGTTGACTTGTTTATAAAACTGTTCTTTGGTGCCTGTTTGAGTTGCTTGGTAATGAGTTGATTTTGCACATAGCTATTTACTTCCAAATAAACTAAATAACTATTTGTTGTGCGATGTAGAGGAAAAAATATTTATATATTTTTTTAGGTCTGGATCACTACAAAAATGAAGTATGGATAAACATCTGTATATCTTTACCTTCATTTTCTATTTAATTATAAGTTTCATTCATCTCTCCGGTGGTCTGTCTCATTGCAAAGTGGGAGTCGTGGATCATCAAGCTTGTGGTCCTGTGATTCCCCTCAAAAAAAAAAAAAATATATATATATATACACATATACATAATCAATTAAAATGATATTATTATACTTTTTCAAAATATCACTTAGAAAATGACAATACTAAGTGTATTTGTTGCAAATACACACAGTTAATTTGTAAAAAGGTTTGAATACTCTATTATAGTACTATTCAATGGCTGAAAAGCTTGGAAACCTCTGGTCCGTCCATCATCCCTCCATAGCAGTGACTTTGAACAGAAAGGGTTCTGTCTTGAAATACTTTAAAATACTAATTTAGTTAGGATTAAAACAGGGAACTTATAGTTGCATTAAACTGAAGAGTAATCTTATTTTGTCTTTTATTGTTGTGTACTAATGTCTAAGGTCAGATTCAATTTCTTAAATGGTTAACTTAATTTTTTCTGTCAACACTCCATTACTTGCCTAAAACACACAAATTCTCCTCTTTGTTGCTGATGTTCTACTTGTTTTGTCGTTTATTAGCTTTACTCCTGTCCTGCACCTTCATCCAATGTGATGCATCCATTTTCCTCTACTTTTCATCACAGTATCTACTTTTTCTTTATCTCCACCCTGATAAAGTTCTCTAATATTTTAGCTGTTTGGTCATTCTAAGAGGAGGGTTGGCCACTGGTGCAGAAGAGCAGATTTTTGCTGTTTTACACGAGACAGACGAGGCAGAGTGGGACCCCTGACCTTTAACCCAATGGCCTTTCCTCCTAAATCCCTAAGGACCCCCCCTGTTGGCTAATAACGACTCAGTGGAGGAATGTAATAAGTGGGTAATCTACCTTAAAGCAGGATTCAACCTTGCTGCCATCTGCAGAGATCCAAAGAGTTCATTAATGCCACCAGGACTAGAGCGATATTCACGTTCAAAATCAGAAACATCTCTGTATCTTTCCATCTCCATTAATATTTTCCTCTGCCCTTTTTGCAGGCTGACAAGGAGGGGCAGGTCTTCCCGGTCATCATGTGCACTCGGACCTCTCCTGACCCCGTCCCAGAATGCCAGTTGTTCCCTGAAGAGGTGGAAGAGACTGTGGAGGGGGTAGCAGAAGAGGGCAAAGAGAGGGAGTCAGACAGAGACAGTGCTGTGGAAAACTCCCAAGGCTCTGACGCTTTCGAAGGTCTCAACAGACTCGTAGACAAGGAAGACGCACTGGGAGATCTCTTTTTCTCCGGGGAGAAGTAAGCACTGTTAGAGTCATTTTAACCTCTGTTTCATCTTCCATTCTGTCATTTATGGAAATGATTTTGTCCTCACTTTGTACTTTGCAGGGTGTTTCACTGCTTTGATCTAACAAGCCTTATTGTTTGCTTTTACTTTCTACCTAAAATTCCCAAATGTTTTCTTGAGGCATTTTGAAATGCCAACTATCACAGTCTAACCTGCGTGTTTTCTTCCCATTTGCAGGTGTGCTCAGGCTAGTATCTCTGTAACCTCCGACCTCTCCACACGTTCCTCGGCTTCACTGAACGAAGAGCAGTTTGAGGACTACGGAGAGGGGGAAGAACCAGAATACACTGCCAGCAGCCCTTCTCCAGACGACGACGCTCGAACTAACGGCTACTCCGACCTCGGCTCATCTGTGCCCTCAAGGTAAAATAGGTCTGAAGGAGGAAACATTTACATGCTTTGATTTGAATTTTGCGATAATCCGTACTGTATGACTTTTTTATCTTACTTGCCACATGTTTGAATAATTCATCAAAGCGTTGGCTCAGATATGGCACTAACATGTGTCCTGGATGGCTTAGGTACAATGTGACTCTTTAAGCCAATGAGATCTTAAGTAAATGCTTTACATTCAGTGTAGGGAATGCTACAGACATGCCTTCACAGATTATCTGCATGTCAGGTGTTTCTTTTTCAATCACTAACACGATTACTTACCCCAACTATAATTTTAATGGCAAAGGTTGCAATGAAACTGTTTGGTAAAGTAAGTCTAATCAATTATTATGAGCTGTGGGAATGACAGTTTGTGCCTCCAACGGCGTGCACAAACATTTTTGGGGGCAGGTGCTCCAGTTGGGGAAAAAGGCACCTTATACGTCGCATGGAGAGCCGCCAACAGCCAAACATGCCTGATGCTTGCGTTTGATGATCTTCCACAGTCCATAGGTAGCAATGCCACATTGGTTTCACTTGAAAAAAAATAAAAATTATAATTCACTAATAAAAAGCTCAGGAGTCCAGAATATCTTCAAGTTTATTGGCTATATATGACAATTTACAGACATACTTTAAAATACGAGAAGAACAGAACTCTGTTATCTTAAGTGCATAATATGTTATAATAATGTTTTAAGGTTAAAAACTCTCATTCCACTGACAGATCATCTTATTCCCTGTTCAGATTGAAGAAAAATAAAATTATATTCAGGTCATTTTTTGCAGTCCAAGATAAACATTGAAACATTGAAATTGAAAATGCAGCTTAATCTACACACAATTACATCTATGAGCTGCTTTAAGTTACATTTTTTTCTAATTTAATCAAAGAGTTTCCTTTTAAACCGTTTTTTGGCGCCTAGTAGAGGCCAGTAAAGACGTTATGCTATTAACTAACCGCTTGGAGAAGGAGGTAAATATTTTTGTTTTGTTACGTCTCGTGGAGAAAAATTACAAAGATCTAGATTCTTGGTTTGATAGGCTTTTAAATTCATAAATAGTATTTTGGGCCAAAGACTAATAGGTGTAAAAAAACAAAAAATGATTTCAAGAGGGGTCTTTTTTTGTGCAGAGGGGAATAGTGTTGGTGCCCTGGCACCACCTAGTGTTTATCTGTGCACGCCCCTGTGTGCCTTAAAGGTTTTAACTTGACACCATGTGCCTATTTTTATTTAAACTTATTGCATGCACTAAAGAAAAAAAATCTGATAGCTTATCTCATCATTACGAGATCAATATCTCTATGATAGTAAAAACTAGCAAACAATGTTACCCACGTATAACTAAAATTGGCACATGATGGATCATTACCAAGTTTAAATGGGTTTTTCCTTGGCATGAGGCGCACCTCTGATGAAATTTTATTTTCATAAAAGAGTTTCCAGTTTTGAGTCCAATGCTAAAGCTGTCAATAGTCACTGCTGCCACCCTCTGGTTTAGTGGGGAACTGCTTGTTCTGCCAACCATTGCCATCTCACAATGTTAGAGAATCTTTTAAAAATGCCTTTATCATCTGGATCATCACTAAAATGTAATGGATTTTTTCCTTGGCTTGAGGGACACCTCTGATAAAAACATAATTCATTTTCATGCTTTCAAGTTATCCTGCACACAGACAGTCAGACAGACAAAAACACAAACTCTCATAAAAACGTAAACTCCTTGACGGAGCATTAAAAGTATTAAAAACTGAAATATATGGACTTGTCAAAACTGGGCTGACCTACTCTTTTTTTTTTTTGTGTGTGTGTGAACACAGACATTTTGGAATTCTTTGTTTTTTCTAACATCTCATAATTCCAATGTTGTCTTTTTTTTGGGACTCTATATCATGCTTTCAAAATTTCACTGAAAATGATCAAATCACTGATTTTTATTTTTATTTTATAATTGCCATTAATATTTAGTGAACTTAACTTCTTCATGTCGACATCTGTGTATAAAAACATTTTAAGATTTGCATTCATATATGATAAGATCAGAAACCGTGGTGCAGCAGCTTCCGATGCTTATGACACATAATCCTTTCAGTCTCAGCGGGCTAATGACTTCTGTTGCTAATTGTCGTCATGGCGATCGACTTTCCTCCTCTATGCAAGTAGCAAAGCTGTACATGCATGTGATCTTTATCTTTTATACTTTTTTACATTTACTTTGGGAATTAGATCGTTATTGCACCACCAGCTGATGCATGTTGTCATGCATTTATTTCTGGAAAAAGTTCCCCTTTTTAACAAATTAAATATGAACCATTTCATTAAATCAAGTAAAGTTTGATTCTCTAGGTGAGGTAACATCTGCTTTTAGCAGATAGCTCTTCATTTATCATTTATAATCATTATCATGGACACAAATCAGATCTTAACTTTTTAAACCAAAACTTTCTATTCAGAGTTAAAACTCAATTTTAAACAACTGTAATCAAGGATTTAACCCCAGCTGTTGCTGCAGATGTTAAATCTAGCAGAGAGAAGATATTTCTCAAAAGATGCGTCACATAATCATGATATAGTTTTATAACTTCTCAAATTCACACTATCGACTTGCCATAGTATTTTGGCCCATCATTTTTTTTATGTGTTATTCAGTTTGTAAAGAGTCATTTCTGTCAAGTCAGAATGGAAAACAGTGTTTTGTTTTAGGATTTTGAACTCCATCAATATCCAGATGATTTTAATCTCCAATTTTGATCAATATTATTAAGTCTTTTAACTGATGAAGAGTAGCTCAGTAGTTCATGCTCTACAGGAAGTGTTAATATTTATCAAAGCCTTGTGCTTAATGGGATTAAACCTCTCAGATGATTTACTGGCAATACAACTTCATGCTCCTCCATGCATACCAATCAGAGAAAACTCCTCAGAACTGTGAATAAATTGTGAAATAAGGGCCAAGGGTTTCATAAAACATGAAAGAAAAAGTCTGCGTTACTATGGAAATTATGATCAGGCTTTGACATCAGTGTAAGAATTAATTAGAGTTCCCTTTTGGCATAAACTTTAGATTTTACAACAAGGTATAGATCCTTTATATTCAGATTAATTCATTATGAACAAGCCATCACTCAGGTAGATCCTCCCTTTGCAGGAATTGCACTCAGTCTTTCATTGTTCATTATTTTACCCGTTTCTCGATAAAAGACTCAAGTTATGTTTTGCCTTAACATTAAGGGGTTGTCTTTGTGTGTCTGTTTGCAGCGCTGGTCAGACGCCCCGGAAGGTGCGTCATCAGTTTGCAGGTGAGCTCATGGACGTCTACTGTTCTCAGTGCAGCAAGAAGGTCAACCTGCTCAATGACCTGGAGGCTCGCCTCAAAAACCTCAGGGCTAACAGGTAACAGCAGCTGACCTTGTAAAGCAAGAGTGTTGGCCTCACTATAGGCCTGAAACAATGAATCCTAATTATTGAAATAATCCACAATTCATGTAGTAATCAATTTATCATCTGAATGTTGAAGATCTGAAACAGCAACCGCCCCACAACAATAATTATGGCAAAATTGTAAAAAAAAAATATAAACATTTTGTATTTAAGGTGAAAAATTTACATCATCTGTCCAGAAATCTTCAAGTTGTTTAGTTTAAGCTTCTCTTGGTTTAAATGGTTTAAACACTTTCTCTTTATAAACTTTTTGCTATCTAATTATTTATTGTACTCCCGCTTCATCTGGGATGCAAAGGCAGCACCTGCTCCACCTCTGCTGGGGGAAGCCCTAGGTGCTCCCAGGCCAGCAGGGAGACTTAGTCCCTGCAGCATGTCCTGGGTCGTCCCCTGGACCTCTACCTGAGGGGACATGCCTGGAACACCTGCTGAGGGAGGTGTCCAGCGGGCATCTGGAAAGAGAAGCCCAAACCTCCTAAGCTACTCTTCTCAATGTGGAGGAGAAGCGGCTCTACCCTGAGCCTCTCCCAAACAATGGGCGCCTCGTTGACCTATTCCGCCGGTGCTTAGACGTGGCAGCCTTAGTTCAAACTTCAACTTAGTTCAAACAAAAAGACTTAAAAAAAAATAATATTGTATGGTCATGAATAGGCTACGACAGACTGTAGTCAATTTAATTTAGATTTGTTGCACCAGACAAAAAAAAAATAAAAAAAATTGTTGCATCGATCAAAAGTGTGAAAGGCATCCCCACAGGATGATGCTGCCACCACCATGCTTTACAGTGGAAATCAGAGGTTGATATTCATTTTTTCGCACAAAGATTTGCATTTCAGTTGACAAGTTCAGTTCCTTCTCTTCCTGCTTCCTTTCCTCTGTCATAGGTACAGTAGCTTATTTCTTACCCCCCTCTTAGGGCTCCACCTCCATCACTAGCCTTGCTGTCTGCATAGAGACTGGCACCAGGCTGCGCACCAAACTCCCTCTCGGCGTCACTAATCTCCCTCTGAGTAACACCTCTAGGATTACCTAAGCCCTCTTGGCTGCTTCTCTGATTAATGTTCTCGTTGCTCGGCCTCTCAGTTTTGATGGACGGCCATGTCTTGGTAGGTTTCCCATTTGGGCCTCACTCTTTCCATTTTTAGGTGATTTATTAAACAGAGCTCTGTGAGATCTTGAAAGCCTTTGATGTTATTTTATAACCTGATCCTGCTTTAAGCTTTTTCACAGCTTTCTTCTTGAATCTCCTGCTGTGTTAATTGGTCTCTGGGAATCTCTTTGTTTTCTAATATTCTCTATGAACATCTTCGCACCCAGGTGTTCTAATGCCTTTACAAAGCATCTGGATTTGTTCTGGAATTACATTCCAAACAGACAAAATGAATTTGCTATTTAAATGACATCAGAATGCTTTTAATTAACTGGACTTTATTCAGGGTCGCTTCAAATGGACATGTTTCTGTAAAAACATGGCTTTTTCACAGAAATGTTTTATTGGTATCCTCTCATGCTGGACATGCCTGCATGGATGTAATATAAATGTGTATTTTAATAGCAATAAGGGTGATTTAAAATAATACCTTGATGATGCATGACAGAATCCATCCACCTCAGTGTCTCTAGGTAAACAGAAACAGATGCTGCCAGCTATTTAAGGCACTATACACGTCTCTTCCTGTCTAGGATCTTCCCCTCATTTTTACCAATGAGTCACTGTTTGCTTTGTGGGCTGTTTTTTTTTTTTTCTTTCCATAAGACAATAAAACTGAAGCCATATCATCAGAAAGGTGTTCAAAGGCCTGTTGTTTTGCACCTGTACACAAAAAACAGACACTAATGGTAAAGCTGCCTCTCCTGTACTTACCTCAACAGCTATTGTAACAGGGGGACTATTAATAGAAACATAATCCATGATCTGTACTACAGCTGACCTGAAAACAACACTGCACATGCAATCTTACAATCGGCCGACATTTTTCTATCACCAGGGAACATTAGAATGATCAGAATGAGGGTTATTGGTGTCTTATAGCTTATTTTTTAGTATTATTTTCCTCTAATGCTCGTTCTACTAAGGCTCCTCTAATTGGACCCACTTTCCTTTAATGAATAATCTCTGAAGCACCTGAAAAATATAAACATTTGAAGGGAAGTACTAAGAGAGGTGTAACTAAAAATAAAAGGTAGATATTGGAAAATGTCTCTAAATAAGGCCAGATCTCAGGAGGATAATGAGAATAAATGTAACGTCTAAATGATTAATTAGATCGGCACTTTCTGCTTCCTTATTATATGTTTTAGACCAGTTATTTTTAAGTTTATGTATTTTATAAATGAAAAAACGTTTTTTCTTTTTTTTTTTACATGCAGTCCCAGCAGGAAAATCTCCAGCACTGCCTTTGGAAGGTAGGTCAATCAAGTTGTTTACATGTGTGCATTTAAAAAGATGCCTGTATGTGCTTGTCTGATCCAAAGGTCACTCATTGGTGTGTTTATGCTTTTTATGAGCTGCTTTGATCATGTTTGACTTGTTTCTAGATACATCCACCAACTCAGGGGGATAAAGGCCACTTAGGGCTTCCTTATTTCTATCATGAAATATTCATCCACCAATCGATCCATTTACTGTAATTTTCGGACTATAAACCGCAACTTTTTTTCGACCATTTTTCAACCTTGCGGGTTATATAACAATGCGGCTTATCTATGGACTTTTACAGTTAATGGCCACTAGGGTAATACAGTACCTCCGCAAGCAGACTCAGAGAAAGACGGACATTGCGAGCGCAAGACAGTTTGTGTGACGACCTCATTATGGAAAACATACGTTGAAATGCATATGATGCAGCTTTTAAGTTAAAGGCAGTCAATTTGGCAGTAAACGAAGGAAATAGAACAGCTGCAGGTAACCTTGGAATCAACAATCAATGGTGAGACGTTGGAGACGCCAACAGAAAGAATTGTCTCAATTAGGGATGCACAATATTGGGATTTTGGCCGATATCCGATATTTTAAAACTCCTGTAGCCGATAACCGATATCGATAC